CACCGGCCCTCCCATTGGTCCTTTTCTTCCTAGTTGCTAATTGTCCCATTAGGATCTTGAGTACTATTTTAGTTTTTCACACCAGAGAAACTAGTCTGTATTTGCATACGTGTGCCTTTATTTATTTCACTTAGAAGTATATCCTCAAAATGTACCCATTTAACTATGAATGAATCTACTTTCTCATTCTTTATGGCTATGTAGTATTCCATTTTCACAATAAATATTAAAAATAAAGAGAATCACATAGAATGATTGTCAAAACATAATGACTCAAAGTCAGCGCAGGTTTCCTCAGTGATGCTTGTACAAATTGAAAGGTCAGAACCCCTAATTTGAGATTAAAACAAAAACATACTGATTTCCCACTACATACCCCATTAAGGAATCATCAGACACCAATTTAGATATTTATGGATTCTCCTTCACCACAGAGAAAGTCTTAGATTTTTCTTAAATAAATTTGTCTTCTTAGCAGAAAATTTTGGGTTTTTATTCAACAATATAGAAAATGTATAATGTGTTTACTTAGAGAAATTTGTCAATATCATGATCTGAGATTTAGGTCTTACTCATTTCAACAAGTTCAGGTGACACAGTTGTTTGGGGAACAAGAGCACATTACTCTGCCCCAACATACCCACTTTTTCTCAATGGTTTATAAGAGAACAGCACTTTTTATGCCCAAAATCAACTCCGTACTGAGTGGTTTAGTCATTGACAGTTATTAGTAACTCCAAAATATATTTTCATCACTTGTGAAATGACAAAGCACAGCTCATGTGCTCTGTTGTGATTGGATTCTTAGAAGTGTTCTTGGCATATGTATAATTAATCCATAGGTTGGAGAGAAAGAACTACTGTTGCTTCAGATGGTAACACAATCTTTCACACCTGCATATAACATTGCAGGGAAATTAGTTCTTCTAAACTCTAACAAAATGTTAATTAGAGGAATGTTCCCAACTATGCGTCCAATGTTCTGAACTTTGATAAGATTACCTTTTCTGATTTCAGAAGATATTGAACTGAAGATGTTAATAAGGAAGGTGGCATGGCACTAGGAGTTAGTGAGTCAACAGTGTCAAAAGAAAGGCTCAGGATATTGGTTCTGGGTAACTTTCGTCACTTAGAAATCACCTCCCAATTTTCCAGATACTTAGTAACATTGAAATTCTTTCCTTTTCCACATAAAATTATTTCCTAGTTTAGTGCATGTCATACTTTAACCTTTTAATGTTTCCCATTAAAGTTTCAATTCCAAGAAAGGTTCCTTCATGAAGTGAGAGAAACTGCAGGAGCTAGGACAATTATGTAAAGCCCTTAGGAAACTGGGATTGTATCTTTGAAGGGAATTGTGAAACATTGGCTTTTTCCTCTTCTTTCTCTAAATTCTGAATTATGAGGTGTGTAGTTTCTTCAACCACATACTCCCTACCATACTACCAACATCAGACTAATTGAGCCCCTAAGATACTAAAATCATGAAAGAAATTTTTTTCTAAAAAATAAAAGGAAAATTATTCATCAATAAAAACCAAAATGTACCTTCCACTTAAATATTACAATTTACAATAAAGAACTGGCTCACAGTCTACAATCAACAGGCAGGTGACTCATGAACCAGATTCCCCTGCTGCAGGTTGGAATAGCCTCAGGACTCCATTGACTTCCGTGGATTCAGACCTCTAGGACCATAGACTTTCCAGCCATCTTTCCTGCCAGCCCAATAACCATAACAGGTAGAAGAGAAGATGTTGCACAGATGTTACCCAAACAATTGACTTAATCATAGATAAGCCAACAACTGAGAAGAGAAGGTAAGCCCTGAGGGTTGGCAGCGGCATGGAGAAACAACAGATTGTCTAGTTTTGCTAGCCCCAAGAAAAGCCCACACTTCTATCCTGGCTGTCCGACTTGTGAATGGGAACTTGTGGATGAATGGATTTCTGGCTGCTCCTGCTCAGAATAAGGAGAGTCTGTATTCACCGAGAGCAAATCCCTGTCTGTAAGCCAATAATGTGATCCCATAGGGACTGTACTTCACACTTCCACATGACAGACACACGGGGAGATCATTCTCTAAGAGGCTGGTAAGGCAGTTGTCAGCAGAGCACACACTTCTCTCTCCCAAGGTGGCTGCTCAGCCCCACTGCCAACTTGACCCTGTCCTCCATCTTCCCTTCCAGCTGTCCCCATCACAGGGAAAGTTCCTGGTCAGTTCACTGGAACCTGACTGCTCTCTGACTCTGTGGAGCCTTGTGGCTCGTGGATGGGTTGCTCCATTTATGGAGGGACCTGTTCCCAATGTGAGCCTATTTTCCTGGACCTACATTCTCTGCATGATGTGCACTTGGCTTGCCCTTTATGAGCATTTTCATTGTGGCTGGAAATTTAAAAGTCATTATTTGCCTTCACAGAATAGGTTACTGATTGTATGGAATTTACCAATTTCTATTAATGTATTAATTTTTTAAAATATACCTCTTCTGTTCTTGAGGGGGACACTCACACGTCCTCCCTAGGTCAGACCCACACCGTCCATGGGCCCTCAGAATAAGTCGTTTGTGAGCATGTTCATCCTGCAGAGATTCACAGATGACCCCTGGCTCCAGGCAGCCCTCTTTGGCTTCTTCTTTACTCTGCTTGTGGTGGCCCTGATGGGCAATGGCCTGATCATCATGGCCATCCACTGTAGCCCCAACCTCCACACACCAATGTATTTCTTCCTTCTCAACCTGGCCCTGATGGACGTGGTCTGCACCTCAACGGTCCTGCCCAAGGTCCTACAGAGCCTGGTGGCTGAGAACACCATCTCCTTCGGTGGCTGCCTCACCCAGATGTTCGTCTTCTCCTGCGTCCTGGGCTCTGAACTTTTGCTCTTCTCTGCCATGGCCTATGACCGCTACCTGGCCATCTGCCGGCCACTGCATTATGGCACCTTGATGAGCAGTAGGGTCTGTGTGGCTCTAGCAGCCTTTGTGTGGTGCACGGGGGCTCTCAACTCCTTGGTGCTCACCTGCCTGGCCCTGCCACTGTCTTTCTGTGGCCCTAATCTTATTACACATTTTTTTGTGAGATTCCATCTGTGCTCCTGCTGTGCTGTAGCCCAACCTTTGTCAGTGATGTCATGACCATGGTCGCAGACATGTTTCTGACTGGCCTGAACCTCCTGCTGACCATGGCTTTGTATAGCCTGATCATTGCCAGTATCTTGTACATCTGTACCCTGAAGGCCTCTGTCCACACTGGTCTGATGACACAGTTGTCATTCTGTAGTCCCAGGGATAGCACCTACTTCTGTGAGATTCCCCATCTCCTGAAGCTGTCTTGCAGGCCCACATGAATGAACATCCTCAAGACACTGCTGATCCATGCCTTCTATAGATACCTTAATTTCCTGCTCACCCTGTTGTTTTATGGATGTATCATCTCCAGCATCTTGTGCCCACACTCAGCTGAAGGGAGGTTGAAGATCTCATCCAGCTGCTCCTCTCACCTCCTTATGGTCTCAGTGTTCCACTCATTTATGTTCTGTCCCTACATCATCCCTGCCTCTAGTGACATCTGAAGAGAAATAAAATGTCTGGAGGGCTGCATTCAGCACTGAGCCCAACCTGAACCACCTCATCTACACCAAAGCATACCAGTAAACTGAATGGAAAAGAAGAAAAAAATGCCATCACCTTTGAGAAAATAATTTATTAATCTATTGAAGGTGTTTGAACTGGTTGCCAATACTTTTAGAGGGCTGCCATACAAAATTCAATTTGTCTTTCACATTTGCCAGGTGCCTCCCATGTACTAATGGTTTGTATGTTACATTTCAGTATTTTATTCTCATAACAACTATAGGCAGTATTATCATAATAACCCCGCTGTAAGGATAAGAAAATCGAGGCTCAAAGAAGTGAAATCTTTTTTCCAAAGTCACACAAACAGCAAGATTGTGAAATTCAACCCTAGTCTTCTGGTTCCAAATTTTGCATGTAAAACACCACCTTAAACAATAACCCCTTTAATTCAGCCCTTTGAATCTTTGTGTTAATAAACTCAGAAGCCTGGCAACACAGCTACACAAGAAGAAAAAAGTCACTATGGCAAAAGAAGCTCTGAATTCCTGTGAAGACTGGGGGCATTGGTTTCGGGAAAGGAAACAAATTGAGAAGAAGTCTGAGGCAATGAACATAGTTTTCCTGCTGCTGTTTTTTCTTGAGACTCAAAGGCTTGATCTTTGATCTTCCAGTGCTGACTACAGGGATAGGCCTAAGTATACATAGTGGGTGGCTATGGAAAAAAGGCTGGAGTCAGTGGGACTATTTTAAATTCTTGAGACAAATGAAGAAGGTAAAGTACCAGAGGCAGGCTTATGATAGGAAGCCAAGTTGAGGAGCACTTCAGGGCAGGAGTACACGAACACACTGAAAGAATTGTGCATCTACTCCATTAGAACTGTCTAAGAAGCTGGGCATGGTGGCACATGTCTGTAATCCCAGCACTTGGGAGGGGAAGTAAGAAGGTTGCTGTGAGTTTGAGACTCCTAGGATGTATAGTGAGTTCAAGGCTAGTCTAAATTACATAGCCAGAGCCTGTGTAAGAAATAAAGAACTGTAAAATCATAAAATAGGGACAACAACCTCTGAGTGTACCTCAGTAACCTGGTGAATTCCTTTATTGAACAAAATGTTTCAGCGATACCATTGATTGGCTCACTCTTTTCTGTTTTATGAAATGTCTGTCCGACACACAATATGTCAAATATTTATGATAGGATGGTGGAATTTAAATCAGTTCACCCTCACATATTGGCTTCTAGTCAAGTCACAATACTAAGATTTCCTTTCCACTATCAAAGAGCAAAAAGCCAACAATATACATTTTGAAAAAAAATCTGTTTTGTGGAACTTTTATCATTGTTGAGGCAAAATATCCAACATTCAAAGTTAAAGGTGTAAAGCTTTATTTAGTTCACAGTTTGTAGAGGTCTCAGTTCATAGTTGGCTGGCCCCAAGGCAGGACAGCATGGCAGAGGGACATCACAAAGATGAAACAGTTCATGGTAGGCAGGACAGGAAGCAGCAACCAACAAGCAACAAATTCTTTCCCTTCCTTTATATTGTATCAAAGTTACCAGCCCTTAGGATAGGTAGCACTCACATTCAGGGTGGGACACCCTTAATCCTACCAACAACTTTTTCAAACCAATCAGTGAACTAATTTAGGAATTACTCACCCTTAATTCCAGAACCACACACTGTAGATCCAGCCACCTCTGAAAAAGCCCCACATATGACCAGGTGAGACTTTAGGAGGATATCTAGACAAAGCACAACACTACACATTGGACATCAAATGAAGTAAAGTGAAACGTGAGACATAAAATTAGCAACGAGTCCAACAACTGCTCCAGCCAGAGGCCTGGAGAGTTTGTAGGCTGGAATGTAAGAAGGAAGAACATCAGTATTTTAAAATAAATCAACATGAAAACACACCATAGAAAAGTCCGTGCAGTACAGATTAAAAAAAATTTTGAGGAAAATATATGGTACTAGGGAGTACACCAGACAATAAAAGATCAACATTTTAAAATTCATGAAAAAAGAATAGGTTAGAATTATCCTGATTTAAAATAGTAAAGACATTATCAAAAGGCAAGCCATCGAACAGTATGAAAACATACACAAAATTCTCAGTAAAATTTTTATAAATTCAGTATAGTAATATATACATGGTAAATACCTGATGACCAAGAATGATAATATATAAATGGATATGTTTGCTTTAATATTTTAAAACCACCTGCTATAATAATTGACACTACAAAATATCTAATAAAAACTCAACAAGATCAACCAAATAGATGCATGGAAAAGATCTGAAGAAATCCAATGGCCATTATTTCATAAACATAGTCATAAGTTTAAAAAAAATCAGAGTGTCAAAAATTTCTTCCTGGAATTGTTTTAATCAACAGTAGAGTTCCATCCCTGCTCGCATAGGAGGTGAACAATGGACCCAAAAATATATGAAGTGAGAATTGGAAAGATGACAAGAGGATCAGAACATGACACTACATATTCCATAGAGTGCTTAAACAAGCGCAGGGTTTCCCCATTCCAATAACAATCTAGGGAGGGCTATTGTTTAAAAAAAAACTTGAGGCATATAAGGATCACATTAAACGTACTTACACTTATAATTAAACTACAACTTGGATTTGATTAAATGAGTTAAAGAAATATTTCCGTGTTTAAGAACATTAAGTATATATGTCAGTTGTGTAGTAATTTGTAGTCTTAGGAAATCACTAAAAGGAGATAAAATAATTCAGGTGTAAACTGTGATATTCTTATACACAAAGTCTGGACAGCACAGCCAGGTGATATTTCAGCCACTGTCCCCAGGTTCAGAGAGTGAGCCCAGCAAGGCAAATGCCCCTCATGAGATCTGACCTGCTGCTTCAAAGATCTTTCCTTTTTCAGACTCATTTATGGGATAATAGGAGTTTTTTGAGGGATACTTTGAATTCTTTGTTTCTCAAAGTATATATTAGAGGATTGAGAGAGGGAGTCACTGTGGTATACAAAACAGAAACAGCTTTGTCAAAGAGCCCAGCAGAGCCCAGGGCTGGCCGGACATAGGTGTAGAGTGCAGAGGAGTAGTATAGAGTGACCACCACCAGGTGGGAGGAGCAGGTGGAGAAGGCACGCTGCTTGCCCTCCGCTGAGTGAATGCGCAAGATGCTGGCAATGATGAAGCTATAAGAAGTCATGGTCAGCAGCAGGTTCAGGCCAGTCAGAAACATGTCTGCGACGATGGTCATGACATCATTGACAAAGGTTGGGCTACAGGACAGCAGGAGCACAGATGGAATCTCACAAAAAAAATGTGTAATAAGATTAGGGCCACAGAAAGACAGTGGAAGGGCCAGGCAGGTGAGCACCAAGGAGTTGAGAGCCCCCGTGCACCACACAAAGGCTGCTAGAGCCACACAGACCCTACTGCTCATCAAGGTGCCATAGTGCAGTGGCCGGCAGATGGCCAGGTAGCGGTCATAGGCCATGGCAGAGAAGAGCAGAAGCTCAGAGCCCAGGACCCAGGAGAAGACGAACATCTGGGTGAGGCAGCCACCGAAGGAGATGGTGTTCTCAGCCACCAGGCTCTGTAGGACCTTGGGCAGGACCGTTGAGGTGCAGACCACGTCCATCAGGGCCAGGTTGAGAAGGAAGAAATACATTGGTGTGTGGAGGTTGGGGCTACAGTGGATGGCCATGATGATCAGGCCATTGCCCATCAGGGCCACCACAAGCAGAGTAAAGAAGAAGCCAAAGAGTGCTGCCTGGAGCCAGGGGTCATCTGTGAATCTCTGCAGGATGAACATGCTCACGAACGACTGATTCTGAGGGCCCATGGACAGTGTGCGTCTGACCTAGGGAGGACGTGTGAGTGTCCCCCTCAAGAACAGAAGAGGTATATTTTAAAAAATTAATACATTAATGGAAATTGGTAAATTCCATACAATCAGTAACCCATTCTGTGAAGGCAAATAATGACTTTTAAATTTCCAGCCACAATGAAAATGCTCATAAAGGGCAAGCCAAGTGCACATCATGCAGAGAATGTAGGTCCAGGAAAATAGGCTCACATTGGGAACAGGTCCCTCCATAAATGGAGCAACCCATCCACGAGCCACAAGGCTCCACAGAGTCAGAGAGCAGTCAGGTTCCAGTGAACTGACCAGGAACTTTCCCTGTGATGGGGACAGCTGGAAGGGAAGATGGAGGACAGGGTCAAGTTGGCAGTGGGGCTGAGCAGCCACCTTGGGAGAGAGAAGTGTGTGCTCTGCTGACAACTGCCTTACCAGCCTCTTAGAGAATGATCTCCCCGTGTGTCTATGTCATGTGGAAGTGTGAAGTACAGTCCCTATGGGATCACATTATTGGCACACAGACAGGGATTTGCTCTCTGTGAATACAGATTTTCCTTATCCTGAGCAGGAGCAGCCAGACATCCATTCACCTACAAGTCCCCATTCATAACTAGGACAGCCAGGATAGAAGAGGGCAACCAGGAGCACAAGCCCAGGTTTCTGGCAGCTCAGAGAAGACCCCAAACTGAGGAGGAAAGCTCTTTGCTCGTCTGTTGGCTCAGGCCTCCTGGGCTACCAGAGTATTCAAGCTGATGCAGAAGCCAGTGCTACAGAACCTCGGGTCTGCTCCTCTCATGTTCTCCCCACCCCATCCTGTGGGCAGCTCCACGGGAGTCACCCAGGGTATTAGACAGACCCTGTGGCATGACACAATTACGGCCAATGTCTGACATGTGTCCAGGGTGCGTGGGCCCTCAAAGATGAGAAGTGAGGCCCAAGTAGAGTAGAATACCTTGGTCACATGCGCTCAGGCCCAGCTCTGGCCGAACTCTATGTACACTGGCTACTTGGTGGGACCTACCTACTTCACTAGGGCAAGTGAGGTGAGGTGAGATAAACACAGAGCCCCAGTGTTTCCATGAATGGACATTCTATACCAGTGTGTGGCCCCTGAGTCTCATGCATAGGATCTATTTTGCTAGTTCACAGGCCATGGACAGATTGTGCTTTGCTAGCTCTGCTCCCATTTCAA